CTTCTGTATTTTGGTCCACTGACTTTATTGGGGATTGAAGTCCCTTTCCAATCCACCAGTAAAGCATAAGCCTTTTCTTTATAGTAACCATTTCTGGGAACATCAAGAAAAAATACAAACAAGGTTTTAGTTTTCCGGGGAGGCTACGAAAAGATACCTGGATATCTTCGAGTGCAGTTGTGTGATCAAACTTGTGCAAATCGCCAACCTTGTTTATATCAACTGGGTAGTTGCTGCTGCTACTGTTAATGGATCCATCATACCATGGATTCCGATGTGGTTTTGAATCATCATCATAATAGATTTTAAGCTTGGAGGGAATCTGGGATTTCAACTTCTTGACAGACATTTTCCGTTGGCCAAGTTGGTTAGTATTGTTAGGGAAAATCTATGTGATTCCCCACAAGTAAATCAATCAATGGGAATAAAAACTAATGCGGAAAAATTAAATCAAAGGCAACACAAGAATTTTTACGTGGTTCCCTCAATATGAGGTACGTCCACGGGATCGAAATCCGATTCCACTATCAACCAAAGAGTTTCCAAACAATTACAAACGAGACACTAATGGTCTCACAAAACCACCCTTAGGTGAATTCCAAATAATCACAAATAAACAAAGAGGAAAGACCTCACCAAATTGATGAACCAAAATCTTCAGAACCAGAGTTGTAGAAGATCCAAAATAACGAACCAAACTATCTTCAAAACGAAGCAGCCGAACAAGCACACTAATGGTGCTTCCAAGAACAAAAACCAAAGCACCCAAAATTTGATTCCACCAAATTGATTGATACCCCAACCACTCTCACGGGAAGTAAAAGAATTGCTACTGCTGCGGTTTTTATTTTCTTGGGAAAAACAATACACATCATATTTTGAATCTGGGGTTTTCTTCTCAAAACCTAATTGTATCCAAATTGAATTGGGTTTCTTCAAATATAATATATAAAAATATATTATACTAAACCAAGCCAAATTAAACCTCTTTTAATAAACCAACTGGGTCCCACACTCCAATAAGGAGGTATATCCCAACAAGTATCACTCCCTCCTCTTGTTTTGAGCTCCTCAAATTTCTCACAAGCCTGGTTGATTTGCACATTCATATGATCTACATACTTATGAATCTTTGCCATGTCCTCTTTCATGGAAATAAGATATCGATCAATCATGTTAGCGAGCGCAGAAGCTCCACTGTGGTAGTTGTTGTCGTTTGTGGTGGTGGTTGGGACATCAGCGGTGGTGGTGGAAGTGGAGGCAACCGTGGTGGCATCTAATCGCGGTGAACTCTTGCCTTCGGAATAATCCGAAGATGATGATGCAGAAGGGGTTGTATTTGTTGACATGATTTAAGAAGAAAATTACGAATAATATTGGCAAGAAAATCAACCAGAAGGATTAATGGACACAACTGGGTACAGAGAATACAGAGAATGAGAGAGCTGCTAAGCTAAATCTTTTTAAGCACTTGAACTCATCATATATCTATTTAGAATTTGAAAATAAATAGAATAGATTTATTTTTATTTTTTTAATTTTGACCCATTCTAGGCTAACTTTGCACATTTCTGAGCCTGCCAAATTAGACCAGAAAGAAAAGTTCAATAAGCCATCCTTTTTTTAATATCTTAGACTAAAATAATCAGACCATACCTAACAAAAATAAAAATAATAAAGGGTCAATTACCTAAAAGTCCTATTTACAAATGTTACGATAACTCAGGTTCTATATAAGATTTTTTGAATTAATAAGTCCTATTTACTATTTACAAATGTTATGGTAGCTTATAGGTCCTATATAAGATTTTTTGAATTAATAAGTCCTATTTAGTAAAAGTGATAATATTATTAATTTTTTCTGATTTTTAAAACTAAGAATATTATCAATTTTGTATAGTAATATTCCAGATAATTGCTTCACTAATTGATGAAAAAAAGAGAGAGTATGAGACTAAATGATTTTTCCTTTCTATTTATTGATTTGATTCAACTATCCAATAAAACTGAGAACATTATCAAATTATTATTATTATTATTTTTTTATTTTTTTAAAGTTTTTTCTTCACCAGTTTTGCACATCAATATTCCATCATCATACTCCTTTATAGATACTAAATTTTTAGTTTTGCACAAAAAAATAATTCAATTTTTAAAATTTTTAAGTTGATATTACAAAATTTTGAAAATCAAAATAAATATCAAATCATAATATTCCTTTATGGATAATTATAAATGATGAACAATTATTATTTGAAAGGTAATTTCGACTATTAAAAATTTAATAGGACTTGAAGGTCAAAAAAATCTTAATTAGGACTTAATGGAGTATAACTTTGTAAATTAAAACTTATCTGTAAATGTTCCTAAAATAAATAATCAAATCCCATGTCCTTTTAAAATAAATTTCTCAAACTCTTACAATTTTAAACTCATGTCACTTTGTGATGGGCTGTTTAATCAAATTGCATGTCCTTTTAAAATAAATTTCTCAAACTCTTACAATTTTAAACTCGTGTCACTTTGTGATGGGCTGTTTATGACTTTTACTTTGAAATCATATTTTCAACACGTCCAATGAAATTGCGTTTGTTCAATTCACATATTGTAAAATTTCTGAAGTTGTGTTCTAAAAACATAAATTTATGTCTGATATATGATTTTACATCAACATATAGAAAGTTACTTTAATGCTAGAAACCTAAAAATTTTATCGAGAAAATACCTAGGATAAATTCATTCCAAGTGTGCATTCAAAACGGCAATTATAGAATCCAAAGACGTAATTGAAATCTACAGTTACACGTAATAATTTAAAGATAAGAAAGTTAATACAAAAGTTTTCAAGATAATATAGATATACTCATTCCAAAACAGCACAGTGCCCCGTGTTTACATTTCTCAAAATAAAGTAAATAATTCATTTTTTTTCTCATGTAATTCCACTGTAAGTTTCCCAAATGTATTGATTAGAGAAATGGTAAATTTTGCACTTGAACTCATGTAATATAACCCCCATCAGGTACCATGCAAGAAAACTAAAAAAATTATAGAAAAAAAATCCTAAGATTTGAGCCTTATAAAAAAAATAAAAAATAAAAAATAAAAAAGAAAAAAAAGTGAGCTTTTTTAATAAGTTCTCTTTTTAAGAGTTTTATTCCATCCAATCCATATTCTTTTTAGCTATTCCATTAGATTTTATTTGAAATAAGAAGACCAAAACACTCCCAATCTCTCCTACACCTATTAATGTTGATATTTAATTTTAATTTTCATTATATTTAGGTAGTTTTTATGCATCAGGATGTTGACGGTCATTATATTCATATTAATTTGAAATGAATTTTTGTAATTGTGTTCTCAATTACATGATATGAATATTCACATAATGTAATTGAAATGAATATTCACATCATTATATTCACATTAATTTAAAATGAATTTTTCTCATTGTGTTGTCAATTGCATGATGTGAATATTCATACTAAAACATACGAATGTGAACGTTCACATTATTACATTAAATGAGAGAGAATGTTAGCATGTTATGAACGTTCACATCACTACATGTTGTGAGTAAGAATTTGTTGTCAATTAAAAATATAACATGTTGTGAACGTTCACATCACTACATTAGATGAGAGAGAATTTTTCGGAAAGGTGTTATGAACACACATCAGATGAGAAAGAATGTTCACATTATTTTTTAATGTGTTATCAATTAAGAATCAAAAGGTTCACATGTTGTGAACGTTCATATCACTATATTAGATGAGAAAAAAAATTTCGGAAAGGTGTTGTGAACATTCACATAAGATAAGAAAGAATGTTCACATTATTTTTAATGTGTTGTCAATTAAAAATATATTCACATCAAATAAGAGAGAATGTTCACATTATTTTTAATGTGTTGTCAATTAAAAATATATTCACATTATATAATAATATAAAATAATAATATCAATGTTATTTAATTTGTGTATGCGATTTTTTCTGCCTTGGTCCTTTCCCTTCTCTCTCCTCCCCCAACATTAAATATCAATATTAAATATAAGGGCATAAGAGTCTAAAAAAATAGTGTAAATTAAGAAAAGGACTTTATGGAATAAAAATATAAATACATGGGACTAAGTTGGTTAAAAAATTCCTTCATGGACTTCTTGGGTTAAAACACTTCTAAATGGGATTTATCAATAAAAATTCCCAAAAAAAAAAAAATGTGTTTTTAATTTTATCAATTTAAATTATGATCTTTTAGTTTGTTTTCAACTTAAATTATTTGCCTATTTTTGTTGATTTAAACTCTCGAAAAAAAAATATTTTAATTATTAAACTCAATAAAAACAGATATTTTAGATAATTTTTTTGCAAAACTACATTAAGTTTAATGGAAAAAAATACTATTTTTCTGTAAATTTTACTTAAAAGGAAATAAGTGGATGGTTTAGATTGAAAACAAATAAAAAAATTTAGTATTTAAATTGATAAAATTAAAAACTAAAGTTTGTTTTTTTACAAAATTCAAACTCTGATTTTTTATTTTTTATTTTTTCTTTTTTGTAATTTCCCCCCAAAAAAATTACCGGTAAAGTCATCCTTTGCCTTGCCTAAATGCAACTTTATTGAAAACTTGCAAAGAATCCTTGATGAGTGACCTTGAAGACATATACATTTGATTCAATAAATAAAGAAAAATGCTAGACGCTCCAAATGTTTTACCAAATATTCTACCAAATGTCTCACATGGGCGTGAGACTCACATGTGTTGGTCTCACACTCATGTGAGACATTTGTTAAAATATTTGGTAAAACATTTGAGACTTCTAGCATTACTTATAAAAAAATACGTACAACTAGTTTTTCATGAGAGAGGGAAATTACTATGACTATACTATCTCTCAAGACATTAGTTTGCCATCCTAGAAATAGAAAGGGAAGACAATAGAAAAAGGTCTCCTTTCCTCCCTTCGTAGCTTCTTCTACCGCATTTGTCATCGATGCTATTTCTTGATGTTGTGTTTGCTCATCCAAACACCATTCTGATCACACAGGAAGGAATTAAGGTCGGGACATTCTACTTTCTCCAAGTAAATCAAATTGGGAAATAACATCATAACGTCTTTCCAAGGCATCTCTAAGTTAGTCAAGTACTTCAATTGTAAAATTTCAACTGTCATAGCTACTATTTCGTCCATATTACACAATAGTCCTCCTTTGATATAAAGTTTCTTCAAGTTCTTCAAATTGTCAACCCACAACCAACTGGGTGTAGTTATCTCAAGGAAACACTCAAGCTCTAGTTTTTGCAACGATGAAGGAAGTTCTAATTGGTGAGGAAGTTCTGGATCATGCTGCTTGGTGAATAATCTTGTCAGTGTTGTCCGCTTGGCAAATAGTTGTGCTTGCTTAGGTGAATCATAAATTTTACTTTGTACAATGTATCCTGACCTAGATATTTTCAACTTCTGTAGGGATTTTAATCTTTGTAAATGACGAAGTTGCATATCTATTGGAAATTCTTTCATAGTCGTAGATATGCTCAATTTTCGCAACTTTGTCAAATCATTGATAGCACATGACTTTTTGTCCTTGGAATCTCCAATAATAAATCCCTTATGCTGTGTTTGATTAGGGGATTTGGGGAGGGATTTGGAAAGGGAAAGGAAAAATATGTGTGAAACTAGGTGAAATATAGGCATGTTTTATTCACATTTCACCTACATTTTTCATTTCCCTTTCCAAATCCCTTCCCAAATCCCCCAACCAAACACAGCATTTAGGTAACACTCAGATATGTCCAAGTGTGTCAAACTCTTAAGCAAGCCAATCCAATCTGAAACCACCTCAAGATTGTGACACACTTTGAGAACAAGAATCTCAAGATTAGTCAGTTGTGAAATGAACTACGAAAGCTCTGTAATCAAAGAAACTCCTCAAAGGCTAAGAAACCTTAATTGTTTCATATTCTAGAGTGCATTGAGAATTTTGCTATCTGTGACTTCAATGTGATGTGTGACTAAGTTCTGCCACCTTCCAAAGTAAACAACATTAAAATGGGCGAACTTGGAAAACCGTTCAAACCTGCTATCAACAATAGCCTCAGCAAAGTTGAGGAAGCATTGACTATAATAGTGATCATATGGAGTATCAATTTGAGTACCTGAATCCAGAGTACACACTAATATAAAGCAAAACTTGTTTACAGCAGAATGTATGTTGGAGTGCATCCTATAGCTATCTGTGTGAGTGATTTTCTGACCACACTGTTCGCTTAGTAACCAGCTGGAGAGCACCGGCAGAATAGATGGCACCTGGCTGACCTGCAACAGAAAGAGAAGATTCCGGCAGTGGTTCGTCCACCCGGAGGCACTCTGACGATCAAGTCAGTATATCTCTCAAAGATAAATCAAGTGCTAAACTCACAAGCTTGAGTATCAAAAGCATACCTTAGACCTATGGGGGTGCCTCTCTTTTATAGCCAACATAAACCGAGTCCCAATAGAAGCCTAACTTCTATGGACTCAGGATTACTGCTAATCTTGAACTCCCAGTTGAATTAGGATAAACTCTCTAAGAGTCTCATCTTTACGTAAACTGAAGTCTTCTCTCATTCTAGGACTCTTGTCCCTTATCCGCTTTATCTCGGATTCTGATATCTTCGGAGATAACCTCGGCCTATCCGAGATGATCTCGGCATAACAACCAGGACACGTGGCACCTCAGCTGACACGTCGGCGTCACCTTGGCCACGTGTTGGTACTCAGAAAATATATCTCTACAACTGCCCCCTAGGTTCTATTACCTCAGCATTCTGAGGTGATGGAACCTACACTGTTCGTTCATCTGTGTCCCTCTGTCCGAGATCAAACTCGCCGACCTCAAAGTTCCCTGGACTTTACTGTCCACTTCTGCCAAGTATCACGCTTCATGCTTTCCAAGTTGCTCGAGATCACACCTCCTAGCCGAGGTTCTTGTTCCATTAATTCGTAAACTCCATAAGCTTTGCAACTGCTCCACTCACATTCTTCAGTGGGTTCCCGACTTCCAGTCATCTATTTGACTCCGGCGATCTTCATATTGGCGCTCATTTCTCTTAGTAGGTTCATAAACTCTTTTATTAAGCTCAATCTTTCATAACTCTTCTGAATCCGTTTACTTGCCCTCTGTTGTCTTCTATTTTCATCTGCTTTCAAGTTTTGAATTATTTGAACGCCTGGCACTGTTCTTGCCATATCCGCTTTCTGTTGCTAGCATCGTGTCTGGGTCATTATTTTCTTGTTCTTCACATACTTACTTAGTGCCTGTGCACTTGGCTTTATTCTTGAACTTTGTCGTCTTCTTGAATCTGATTTTTCTCTTTTTTCATTCAATCCTCTGGCTTTTTCTCTTTCTAGCTCTTTTGCTTAAATCCGTCATTGTTCCAAGCTTTCAAGCTCTGCAACTGTTTTCGTTCCTCTCCTCCGGTGAAGCTTACGTCATTCTGTCATTTTTGCATCCGTCATCAGACTTCGGCAATTCTCATTCCGGCTTCCCTCTTTCTGGTAAGCCACTGTTCCTCCTGGTTTTATTTCTTTGTTGCTTTCCAAGAAGCTCTGCTTCATTGTTAATCATCATTGCTGTTTTACCCGTTGTTTCCAAATCATCTTCTTGAATACACACTGTTCACACATCTGTTGATTTCTGCCACTGTTCTTGGAACAATGGTCGTGTTGGAGTCTAAGCTAGAGTGTGTAGAGAGAGAGAGAGAGAGATAGAGTGAAAACGTTTTTTCTTGATGGTCTGGTCTGGGTTTCAAATGGATCATGAGAGAGGAAGACACGAAAATAAATAGATTTATTTTTATTTTTAAAATTTTTACCCATTCCAGACTTTTGCACATACTTGCACATTTCTAAGCTTGCCAAATTGGACCAGAAAGAAGAGTTCAATAAGCCATCCTTTTTCTAAGATTTTTGCTGAAAATATTCAGGACTATACCTAACAAAAATAAAATAAAATAAAATAATCAAATCCCATGCCCTTTTAAAATAACAGTTCCGATTCGTAGCTCGAAATCAGCGTGGCTCGAATGGCCCGACATCAAAACGACGTCGTTTTGATGTTTTTTTTTTTCCTGCGTTTTTCTGCAGGTTTTTCTGATGAAGTTAACCAATTTCAATCTGCAGAAAACTGATGATGTTAACCCAATTTTTAATCTGCAGAAAATGCAGAGAAAATGAAGAAAAAGAAGAAAAATGCAAAGAAAAAAAATGCAGTTCGGGCCATCATCTTCATCATCTTCAACATCTTCAACATCATCATCATCTTTATCTTCATCATCTTCAACATCATCATCATCTTCATCAACAAAAAAAAAAAATTCTCTGCAGATGGCCATCATCTTCATCATCTTTAACATCTTCAACATCATCATCATCTTCATCATCTTCAACATCTTCAACACCATCATCATCTTCATCAACAAAAAAAAAAAATTCCTCTACAGATCCGGATCAAGATTATCATCATCAAATTTTTTTTTTTTTTTTTTTTTTGCAGATCCAGATCTACTTAGAAAAAATGCAGAATTTTTTTTTTTCTAGATCCAAATCTACGATCGCCGCCACCATCACCGACCATCACTGTCGATCGCCGCCACCATCACCGACCATCACCGTCGATCGCCTCTTCTCTTCTCTCTCTCTCTCTCTTTCTCTATCTCTCTCATTCCTCTTCTCTTCCCTCTCTGTCTGTTCAAAAAAAAAAAAAAAAACAACAAACAAACAAAAAACTGCCCAAAACGACGTGGTTTTGGGCAGTTCGGGCCATTTGAGCCGCATGAAATTCGAGCTACGAGTCATTTTCCTTAAAATAAATTTCCCAAACTCATACAATTTTAAACTCATATCACTTTGTGATATAACTGATCCTATTTAATGAGAATTAAGATTTGATTTGATTTGATATCACTTTGTGATGTGTTGGTGCTATTTGGTGTAGTTGTTAAAACAGATTATAGATTATAGCTTAACAGATTATAGATTATGACTTTAATCAGAAGCAGTTAATCTGTTTGGTATAGTTGTTGGATTATAGATTTAAGTTGCTGAGTAGTGTTTGTTAAATAAGCTGTAAAGTAGCTTTTTCAATTAATTTTTATTTTTTATTATTCACTATTTGTCTACATTTTTCATAAAAAATAATAATAATATTTAATAGTCCATTTGAGTCTTTTTCTATTTTTTTTTTTTTAAAAAAAATCTAAGAGTATAACTGTGAATTAACATGTCCACAGCAGAAGCTGATAATCAGAAGCAATGGGTGAGCAGCTTCTTAGAATCAGCTTTTTTGACTTAAAATAAGTTGTTAGAATCAGAAGTTGTTTCAAATAAGTTTAACCAAACAGTCCAAAATAACTTTTTAAAAGCCAGAAGCCATAAGTTGACTTAAAAAAGCTTCACCAAACACCCCCATTGTTTATGACTTTTACTTTGAAATCATATTTTCAACACATCCAATGAAGTTGTGTTTGTTCAATTAACATATTGTAAAATTTCTGAAGTTGTGTTCTAAAAACATAAATATCTGTTGAGATATGATTTTACATCAACATAGAAAGTTACCACTGTAATGCTAGAAATCCAAAAATTTTATTGAGAAAATACCTAGAATAAGTATTGTGCTGTTGAAATCCATTCCAAATGTGAGTCCTACTATAAAAGAATTGAATCTAGACAATACATCACAAATCGGAATAAATTTCTTGACATTTTTTTAGTCTGTCTTTTTTGAGAAAGGAGCAATGTTAAGAACTCATAAATTTTACCCATATTGTGTAATATTATATAAGAATTGAATCTAGAGCACATATCACAATTGGGAATAAATTTTTAACATTTTCTCTTAATCTTTGTCTTTTCTGAGAAAATTATCATACGAAAGTAAAACTTTTGTGATAAAAAACATGCAAAACATTTTTTTTCAAAATGAAAAATTCGTTTTTCACTTTGTGGGAACTACTCTCTCTATCCGAACCCAATCAGTCATTTAATACTAACTCCATATTTTTGTGAGTTACCCTCTCTTTTTTTTTTTGGGAACGGTAGAAAGGTATTATTAGCAGTCACTTCCCCAAATTTTCCATTAGCTTCCCCTCAAAATGACCAATGTTACGTTTTTTCCATGTACGCCAAAGAATATTAGCAGCCAAAGCACAGCAATACCGATCTGCATTCTTTGTATCACTCCATTTCCGTCATTAGATCTTCCACCAATCAATAAAACACCATTCTCATGACATGAAAAGCAAGTGAGTCTGGGGAATTCTGCTTTCTCCAAGTAAATCAAATTAGGAAATAATATCCTAAGGTCCATCCAAGGTATCTCTAAGTCACTCGAGTACTTCAATTGCAACATCTCCACTGTGATAGTTGCTAATAGGCCTAGATCACACAATAGCCTTCCTCTTATGTAGAGTTTATTTAGGTTCTTCTAATTACTAGACCACAACCAAATGGGTGTCGCCATCTTAGGGAAATACTCAAGC